TGACTGTTTATTCGGCCCTCGCGTTCTCCGATCTGGCCGCCATCTCAAGCAGACACATGGAGCTCCTGTCAAACAAGTCCGTGTGGAAACCGCGGCACAGGAACTATAATGAGTCCGGACTAGACCGGTTTTAGAATAATAACGCGTTCTTCGTGTTAATTCTTAGAACGATATCCACTTCTGAACAGGAACTTCTCAGGTTGGAATGTGTTTTAACGGTTGTGGTTTGAGTATATGACCTGGTAATACTTATTACGAGGATAATTTCATTGGAGACACACCCACTGCTACACGCTATTTAAGGGTCATTCCCGTGAAAAGGTGACGGAGCCATTTGTGTTCCATATGGGAATCGTGAGGAATCGATTCCGGTTCCAATTCCATTCCGATACTTCTTTGCGATTCAGAATCTTTAACGCTTCCTTCATCGATTATTTTAATATTTTCAAAGAGGAAAAGGTACTTATTGAATTTAGTGCATTCAGCAAAACAGAAGATAAATAATTTTTAAAAATCCGAAATTAATTTAATTAACTTAAATATAATGATTTCAAAAGACATGTTTTCACTTCTGTTAATTAGTCCCAAAGTATATATATATATAGCCTAAAATATTAAACCAAAAAGGTGAGATTTATTTATTGAATATACTACTATACATACTACATTTTATTTTAAACAAACAGTCAGTCAAGTCTCTGATTTATATCTAATAAGTCTTTAGCCACACATAGCATAACACAGTAGAAGTTCTGGTTCATTTCAAGTCAGATATGATCAAATATATTTAACTTGTTAGAATTCAACTGAGTCATTAACCGCCCCGGTTTTGATTCACTAAAAAGAACTGGTTCAGAAGAGTCATTTGTGCGCGAATCGGACTACACTGTTCGTCCTGAATGTTGAGTCACCAAAAAGAACTGGCTAATAAAAGTATTGCTGTGCTGTTGTTATTAGCTATATTAGCTATATAGTAATTTACACTTTATTGATTCAATTTGCTGTTCGACAAACAATGGTTTAATATTTTATTACATTATTAAGCCTACATTTAATAGGCTACTTTTACATTTATTTACCTTATGATCCACATTTTTGCTACAAGTTGCACATAAGAATCAGTCACTGAACAAATAATAGTTGTTAAATACTAATCTGAATAGCCTACTGCAAATACTACAAATGTCACTGTTTTGAGAATGACCCTCTGCTTAATTAAAATATTATATAGCCTATTTAATAAATAATTTTAAATATAATTTTCTACAAACATTTATCATATTACTGAATGTTTCTGCATATATAAATTAAATGAATAGGCCTATATGTGAAATGTATGGAAGCCCGTTTCCGCCACTGAATAAAAAAAAAAAAAAAGATTATTGTGACTTTTTATCTTACAATTCTGACTTTTTTTCTCAGAATTGCGTGATATAAACTCACAATTGCGAGTTATAAAGTCAGAATTGCAGATATAAAGTCAGAATTGCGAATTTGTATCACGCAATTATGAGAAAAAAAGTCAGAATTGTGAGATAAAAATTCGCAATTACCTTTTTTATTTTTTATTCAGTGGCGGAAACGGGCTTCCATAGTAATGGCAAATAGCAATATGAATAAAAAAATCACTTTAGCTGATGTCTGAGAAAAAGTGTTTGTGATATATAAAGTTGTTTTTTTCCTAACGTGTAATGTGTCTTAAATATAATATAAATAATATTTTAAAAATCATAAGAATGAGATCATCTGTTGTTTTGCAGACAAGTTTCAACCTTGACGTGTTTTTCCCAGTCTCCCTCTTTCATCTCTATTTCTTTTTCTTTTTCTCACATGCACATGATTCTCTCACACACTGGCATAATAGACTAAAAAAACAAAACACCCATGCAGCAAAATTCTATATAGATGGCTTTAATACACATACATGTATGTTTCCGTTTTTAACAACAAAACTCCAAACTATTTTTTACACACATTCAATGAATTTAAGTTTCAATTACTGATATGAAGTTGATAAAGGTGCATTACGTAGATAATCTCTGTAATTCCCAGGATGTCCATGACCTTCCTGTAACCCAGGTCGTATCATACCCATGCAACTCAGATGCATAGCTTGGTTACAATACAACCCCGGGTCAATGGATGGCTTTTGACTTTTGTGAATTAGATCATTCAACACAGTGTACAAAATATCTGACACAAACATAAGTGCATTCTTATTTCAAAATTTACAAAGCAGCACATTTTAATTAATCAAGAAGGAAAAAAATATATACAATATACTCTATATAAATTAATTGTCAAACATGCCGGTTATTAATATACTGTTAAATTTGTGTATGAATGGAATATGTTAATATAATCCATTGTACATCTAAACAGAAAACATATTTCTACCAGAGAGTTCAAATTAAATACCTACAAACAACCAATTATACAGAACTGCAAAATTTGATTTCTATGTCTATGGAAACAAAGAACAAAGAGGCATTATAGCATTAGCAATAAACAAATTATCAGGTTATGATGAATCATTATTAACCAAATTCACACTGTAATAAGTTTCTAACCTATAAAACGATACTTACCTGCCGAAACCAAAGAAAAAAAAAATGAGAGAGAGGGGAAGGAAAGATTCTCTAAGGAGAAACGAAGAAGTTTTATACACGAAATGAGGTGTATAAAAAGAGGCCGGATGTATAGGATTTACAGTTTAACACTCTTTATCTCTCTCCAGATTATCAAAATTGACCCACAATCTAAGTTTTAGCTAACAAGATAAACTGGCAGTTTGCACGTAATCCCTCTGTGACATCAATATGGTTTGTGGGGATTTTTAGCGATTGGTTTAGGTAAATCTTGTTTCCAGATTACGGCTTATCCTTGTGCTTGGGGACCTTAAGAGTTTGGTTTGCCTTTCACCTGCTTATACTGCTGCTCATGAAATGGAAGCCAAGATTGAACAAACTTGTTTGACCCAAAAAACTAGGCCAATACTTTAGGTTAGGGTATATTGTGTTTCCGTGTTTTTTAGGAAAGGGTTTTAGTTTCTCAGTACAGAGATAATTCAGTGTTATAGACTTTAGAAGTTTCAAAACCTTTCAAAGCAAAGTTTCTTTAAAGCATTAGCCAATTCAGAAATATACAGTACTGATCATTTTCAAATTTCTTATCAGACCACAAATCTGCAGGATCAAGCCAAATCTTAAAAGCTGAATAATAAAATCCTCTAAAAAACTACTTGACAACTTTTTGTTGAGTTACCAGATATACTGAAATAAATCAGCTATAAGCATCGATTCATAACTATATTCTAATCTATATACTAAGGTTTAACAAGTGATTTGCAGGTTGTGAAATAACTCAGGACTAAGCTAAGTTGACTGAGGCACGTAGTACAGTATATTATACTACGTTTAAGAGGTAAACTTGTTTAATTTGCTGGCCAAATGATTCAAAGTAAGTAAATTAAAAACACTACAGAAATGTTATTCAGTGCTATTTACCTCTGATATATGTGTTGTTTGTGGACTTACATGTAAAGTAATGCTAAAGGAGACTCAATGATGGTGCCCGACAGTTAATCACTTAAATAGTTCAGTTATCACACTGTAAAAAAAAAAAATTCTGTAAAATGTATGGTAAAAAAAAACGGCAGCTATGGTTGCCAGAATTTCACTGTAAAAAATATGGTAGCAACGTTTTAGGTTTTACGGTTTTAACTTAAATTTACATTTAAATACTGTAATTTAATTAACTGACATAATGTTAATATACCAACCTATTGAAGTACTGAAATCTGTTTTGAACCTTTATAATACACTGATAACCACCAAATGCAGGTGATGATGTAATACACTGATAACCACCAAAAGCAGATGGTGATGAGAAGTCACATGATGAACCAAAGCCCATCACAAGCAGCTTTTAAATAATAACATATATAGAAGGTGCACAGTGTCATTCACACAAACGCTAAACACCATCATGGTAACACACATGAAACTGAAATAATGCAATAAACATTCATTTAACAACATTATATGTAACATACAACCCTAATGTACAATTCTGATAAGAAAAAACTAAGAAGAAACATAGTTATTTCAACAAAAAAACATCAAATTTGAAATGTAACGCAGGGAATTCTGGGAATGTCAATTTACGGTTATTAGCTGTAAATTATACTCCTTTTCACTTCCAAATACGGTATACTGCCGTAAAATTATATACAGTTTTTAACCATTTAACAGGTTTTTACTGTAGCATTTTTACAGTCTTTTACCGTTAAATTCACAGTAATTTTTTACAGTGTATATTTTGACTAGTTCTCTTTTGCTTTTCTGTTTTACACTGGTTAAACCAAGATGTCCCCAGATTACAGATCAACATTAAATTGGAAAACATGAACTGAAGATCCAAGTTTGAATCCATTGATTCATTACAAATCTGAAACCTTCATCTAAAGCTATTGGAAAGGAAAATGCAGGTCAAATGTGAACTAATATGTGTGTTGTTGAGTATGTAAGTTAAACGCTAATATCCACTGACAGCAACTAGCAGAAATACAATAATGTCATTATTCAGCTCAAGTCAGTTCAAAGTTTATTCAGTTTTGTTAAATTGTGTCAGTGTTGCAAAGTTCATTAATTATGATCAAATTTGACTTCTCTTCTAAAGACAATAGCTCAGTTCATTTCAAGTTTAATACCAGTTCAAGATATTACAGAAGTGTCTTTCTAATCATGTTGTATCACTGTTGTTTATGCTCTAATACAATCTAAAACATATGATATTCTGCATTTGTAGAGCAACACGTGTTGCCTAATCATGTGCTTAGAGATTCCATGATGGTGTTGAGCATAATTTACATGGACAGGACAGATTATCCCGACAACATGTCCGGAAGATCACCCGGAGGATGATCTTCCTTTTCAATCCCATCTACCCCCCACTTTTCACACCAGGCAAGACTTTAAGGATTTTATAAAAGGCCATCCCATCCGTGTTTAGTCAGTCAGGCTGCTCATTGACTTCACCGAGACACCGCGCAAGAACAAGGGCACTAACGGTGCAACCATGGACGCGTGGACCTATCAATTTGGGAACCTCTCCAAAGTCAGCCCCTTCGAGGGCCCACAGTACCATCTGGCCCCCAAGTGGGCTTTCTACCTGCAGGCAGCTTTCATGGGCTTTGTATTTCTCGTGGGCACACCTCTGAACGCCATCGTCCTCTTTGTTACAATGAAGTACAAGAAACTCAGACAGCCTCTCAACTACATCCTGGTGAACATCTCCCTAGGAGGCTTTATTTTCGACACTTTCTCTGTAAGCCAAGTATTCTTTTCCGCCCTTAGAGGTTATTTCTTCTTCGGTTATACGATGTGTGCAATGGAATCGGCGATGGGATCGATTGCGGGTAAGATGAAGCATCTGCGAACTTTGAATAGCATAGACATTACTAGGGTTGGGAATCGAAAATCAATTCCAATTCCAGAATCGGATACTTAAGGTCAGGAATCGGATACTTGTTGTAAAATTAAAATTTCAATTCCACCTATCAATTCCTGTGTGCGCGTCTTTTATTTTTAGCTGGCGAAAAGCGGCTGTTAAAAATGTATTTGTCTTTGAATCATTCATTCAAGAGATTCATTCAAAAACACTGATTCATCCTAAAACAAGTAAATCTTGAGTGAGTCATTGAATCATTCCATTCATAAATTCCATGAGATTTTGTTAGTTGTTTTTTTCAAAATTGTGAGAGAACTACAACCTCCATTAAAAAATGTCCCAATTTATCCAGAATCGTGCAGCTCTATTTTGCACACAAACAGCTCTTAATCGAGTCCAGTTTTTATGTAGCCGGCTGATTTTTATTCATGGTATTCAGCAGCAAAAAGAGACACAGATTTAATATGCTTGATATCTAAATGTTTGACTTCATTTTTTAAAAATACATTGGAATCTACACTGAGAATCGGTAAGAATCGGAGCTGTGGTTCTGTGGAGAACCTGCCTGGGACATCCAAGGAACCTTTCCATTCCACAAAATTAGATTTTTTAAATGTTCTTCACGCTGAGAAAAAATTCAAGAAGTGATCACTTAATGGGGAATCAATGGCATCTTCTATGGCATCACTGTGAAAACCCCCTTTCGTAACCTTCAGTATGTTAAGATTGGTGGTTGTCTTGTTCTCACAGGACTTGTGACAGGATGGTCTCTGGCGGTTCTGGCTTTCGAGAGATACGTGGTTATCTGCAAACCCTTTGGAAGCTTCAAGTTCGGACAAAGCCAGGCAATGGGAGCCGTTTTGCTCACCTGGATCATAGGTGTCGGTTGTGCCACTCCTCCATTCTGGGGATGGAGCAGGTGAAATACATTTTCTTTGTGAAATATTTGGAAGCATGCACTCATAATTTTAGAGATTAACTTTATTTACATTCGAATTTACAGATACATTCCAGAGGGTCTCGGCACCTCCTGCGGACCTGACTGGTACACAAAAAGCGAGGAGTACAATTCAGAGAGCTACACTTACTTCCTCTTGGTCACCTGCTTCATCCTGCCAATAATGATCATCATCTTCTCCTATTCACAACTGTTGGGAGCCCTGCGTGCTGTGAGTATCCCAACTTTTTGCCTTTATGAACCTTTTTTTTTTTCTCAAATAAATATTTTAGTTACTTAATTGCATGTATTCAGGCAATATTATTTAGGATTATCATAATGTTCTACATATTATTTAATAATTATTTAAGTTTTTTTTTTTGCCTTTTGATTTCAATTTCTGCCCATGATTAAATAGTTATATCAGTCTCCTTTATGTTCTGTGTCCAATGCAATGAAGCACAAAATGCAATATCCTTTTTAGATATCCTGTTCACACTAAAAATCTAGATGAACAAATATTTTAAAATTGAGCATAACTAGAGACATTTATATTTTGGAAATGTCCATGATTTTTCGATTAGCTTTATGATTTTAATTACTATGAATTTTCTATGAATTTTACAAATGTTTTTTTTTTTTTAATATAAGGGTATTCATTTAAAATAAAATAAAATAATTACGAAATTAGTTAAAATGATACTTTAATGCACTCACAGGAGTACTTTGTAGAAAAAAGACAAAGATATATTTCAGAATATATTTTCATTTTTCATATGTCATGTAATATATATTCACTTCAAATGACTTTTTTATATGACTTTAACATTTCTTAACAACCTTTTTTTTTAGAATATGTGTGAATGCTTTATCAGAATAAATCAGAAATATATTTCACAAGCTTGAAATGTTTAAATATTTACCAATAGGTTGCAGCTCAGCAGGCCGAGTCTGCCTCCACCCAAAAGGCTGAGAAGGAAGTGTCCAGGATGGTTGTTGTGATGGTTGGCTCTTTTATAGTTTGCTATGGCCCTTATGCCATCACTGCCTTGTATTTTGGCAATGCTGATGATTCAAACAAGGATTACCGTCTGGTGGCCATCCCTGCTTTGTTCTCAAAGAGCTCCTGCGTGTACAACCCCCTAATCTACGCCTTCATGAACAAACAGGTGAGATGGACAAAACATATGCTTAGAATAATAACACTACACATGTAGACAAACACTAATACTCTGCCATTTTGTGTTCCAGTTCAATGCCTGCATCATGGAGACTGTATTTGGCAAGAAGATTGATGAGGGCTCAGAGGTTTCCAGCAAGACCGAAACCTCCTCAGTGTCTGCATAAATTATTCCACAACCTATTTACAACTTGTCTGGACATGTTTTCCTGTTATACCTTCCCCTGATTGGTCAAATCCTGCACCTTTACACCTTGTCGAGGGCCGAGGGAGTCCCTATGTCCCGAAGACACAGCCCGCTGGATGGCCAAACCAGAGGGCGATATCCTACCATCCTTTCTGTGCAGAACTGGTACACCTTCAAAATACTGCGATTGTATTTATTTTTTTTGTAATGAAAAACATTGCTGTTTTATGTTAAAACAATGCATTATGCATTGACGATGAAGTAGAATATTTAATTGTTAACTTGCAACAGAAAATCTAAAAAATAAAAGAATAATAGTTAAAAAATAAAAGAAATAAAATTGAGACATCCTCTAATGTGAATGGACTTGCGCAAATTGAAAATGGAAATTCCTGATTTTTATTTTTATTTTTTAAATGCTCTTTGACTACATTTATAGTAGCATTTATATTCTATCACAATGAGATCTTAAGTAAACTAAGTAACCTAAAAGCCCATACCAATCAAAACTGCTTGTTTCGGCAAAAGAGCACAGCGTAACAAAGCGGTTTACTCTCATCTTCTCTAAAGAACTTACTAAAGCCCAGCTTTCTGGCTGGATTAGCAAAGATATATAAGATCACAAGGGAATTATCCAAGTCCAGCCGCTTGTTTGCAGCTGAGGAACAGTTCACTGGAAGTTTGCTGGTAACAAATCTTGAGCGATAGCTCTTGTCCAATCACTGGCTTCATGAAGTTGGATCTCTAATATCTATATCTGTATTACATCTGTACATGTTTTGTTGTAATTAGACATACAGTGTGCATGAATTTGTACATGTGCCCGGATTTTAGAATGAATAAAGATTTATATGGTTTGATTCATTTTTTCCTCTACCTATTGGCTTCTATTAATCAACTGAAATAGGCTTTTTTCCATTTGCTTGTTGCCGAAGCAAAATTTCTCACTTGAAGTACTAAAATATCTAAAGCTTAAACTGAAATAATTATTTAAAAAATATATAGACATATTTGACTAATAAAATGAAAAAAAAAAGCTAACGAAATATTAATAATAATAAACAATCAGTATTTTTAAACAATATTGTATTAATATTTTAAACAATTTCTTCTTTTTTAAAAATCACACACAAAAAAAAAAAACTACAGGCAGAGCGAATGCCAAAAAAAGACAGCTGACATTAAAAAAGTTACAATTTTAATCATAATTTTGTTTTATTGACAATTTGTTGTTGTCAAGATAACTTGAACGAAGTCACCTGAAACCACTGGGTGCTAAAACATTTTAAATCAAAAAATAAAATGCATTCAAAAGACAACTAATGGACCACATTGCTATGTTCGTAGCATAGCAAACATATTGCAAACTTCTTATAATTGATAGTGTATTTCAAATAATGAAGCTGAAAGCAACAAACTAATATGTTCGATTGGACCCTACAAACCAAAATGAATTGAGGTTTTAGCCATATAGCCCTAACTAAAGGTATCCATGTATCCAAATCAAATACAAAATTCAGTGAAAGGCACAATGAGAGTGTGTCTATTAAAGATCAAAATCAGGGAGTCTTTAAGAAAACAAACATCTTACCAATAGATGAATGTGTGACCGAATGAGCCGAGGTTTTTTTTCTAATGACTATTGCAAGAAGACAGGATATAGAGGATCATGACCTATGGCTCTAAAATCGATGTTTGTGCCAAGACAATTACACACAGTAGAGAAATGTGAGTTTATATGTATAAAACGTATATACATATTCACATATACATTGTATTTTATACCTATTTGTATAAACTCTCAGAAGAAGCCAATCTGAGAGGATTCTCTACTAATGGTATTCTAATGAGCAGAACTGTGAACAGCAGGGGGAGCTGATCATAGATCAGAAGCAACAGGTACAAAACTGCCTTGAATCTAGCTCTGAATAAACTGCTTCACATTAAAAAACAAATATAAACAGTTATTGAAATGGTAATAATGCTGTACATGGACCACAATTCCAAAGACCGATCAAACAAACGCTGCTAACGCACTTTACAGTTAAAAAAATACTCACCCTCATGTCATTCCAAACCTGTAAGACATTCGTTCATCTTCAGCACACAAATTAAGATAGTTTTGATGCATCCCGAGAGCTCTCTGAAAATGGCGCTACAGGGTGACGTGGAGGAGATGAATTTGAATAGTCGTTTTTTTTTCTTTTGCACACAAAAAGTATTCTCGTAGCTTCGTAAAATTACGGTTGAACCCCTGATGTCACATGGATTATTTTACCGATCTCCTTGCTGGACCTCGATCGTGTAAGGATCCTTTGTCTATTGAGGGTCAGAGCGCTTTCAGATTCCATCAAAAATATCTTAATTTGTGTTCCGGAGATGAACGAAGGTCTTACGGGTTTGGAACATCATGAGGGTGAGTAATTAATGACAGAATTTTTTTGGGGGGGTGAACTATCCCTTTAAGTAGCGTCATCATGAATGCATTTCCGTGTGCAAAAAATGAAAACAATCTATTAAGTGAACTAAATCTGAGGAATTAATGTTGTATTATGGTGAAGCAATATAAAATAAATTATATCCATTTACCAAAACAAGTTAAAAAGTAATTATCTATTATACTAGTAAAAAGAATTAAAACTCATCATGTCGAACTAAAGCCTCCCCAAAGTCAGTCGCTTGACTTCCCACAAACAAATCGTACTTGTTGAGTATTTCCTCTTTGCTGAGTTTGCCATCCTGAAAGACAGTGTGACAAACAGTTGAAATGATTTCAGTTGTAACTTACGAAAAGCTGACAAAGTAAGTTTTTAAGGTTAGCTCACCTTGTTCGTGTCAGACTCGTACACCAGATGCTTGGCTTCGGCTTCTGCGTGGTCGTAGTTGGCCGGCAGGATCCAGTCCATGGTCTCAACTTTGTCCATCTTCCCATCCTTGTTCTTGTCTCTAAACTCTGAAAACTGCTCTCGCTCTGTCGCCACCCATTCTGGCTCGTCCATTTCATCCTCATGGTTGTACATGTCGCCTGATATTCAAGAAAATTCAACTGATGTTAAGCTATACTGACAAATTGACATTTTTATGCAATGCAAGTTGACTAGATTTTGTAAGAGAGTATTCAATTTAAAATATATCTAATACCATATTTCACTCACCAATATACTCCTTCAGGTCGATAAAACCATCACCATTCTTATCAATATCCTCCATAGTTTCCTAATGATAAAATGAACAAATTAGTGAAATAGGTTACAGAAAATCCAGACAAAGCCTAGTAACTATATAAAAATCAAAATGATCCAGTTATTTTCCTTTATACATGTTCCTGGTCTTATGTCCAAAATGCATCGGTGCACATGATAAAGGAAAAGGATGTTTGTCATTTCTTTTTTTCCTCAAATTTCCTTTCATTTGACGCCACCAATTCCCAATGGATAAAATGAGGCCACATCCAACATTTTACACCATTACACACTGCCATTCAAACGACCAACTATCATTTTTTTTTGCAAGGAATTCATGCTTTTATTCAGCAAGTATGCATTTATTTTGATTGAGAAATTGAGAGTAAATCCATTTATATTGTTAAAAATTATTTCTGTTTCAAATAAATCCTGTTTGTTCTGAACTTTCTATTCATTAAAGAGGCCTGAAAAAGCACAAGCACTATGCAGCACAACTGTTTTCGATATTGAAAATAATAAGAAATGTCTCTTGAGCACCAAATCAGCATCTCAGAATGATTTCTGAAGGATCATGAGATTCTGAAGACTGGAGTAACGGCAGTTGAAAATTCAGCTTTACCATCACAGGAATAAATTATATGATAAAATATATTAAAATAGAAACAGTTACTTTAAATTGTAATAATATTTCAGAATATTACTGTTTGTACTGAGTTTTTGATCAAATAAGACTTCTGTAAAAAATATGACCGCTCTACAGTTTTAAGTAGTAGTGTATGTCTGAGTTTACAGAAGTAAAATGGGATACAAACAGGTTTCACATTAACTTTAACTTGGGATAGAACCGACATGCCAATAATAACAGACCCACCAACACAACAATGTCTTTCATATGTTCATACTCCTCAGGATGGAGGAAAGCAGTGAACTCCTCTTTGTCAGCGATGTGGTCTCCATTTCCATCAGCCATTTTGAAGCGCCGTTCATCTCTAGCCATCATCTGCTTGTAGTTGTAGCCATCATCAGACTCAGGATCATCTAGAAAAACACAGACAGTGCAAATGATTCAATTATTAGAACAAATGATTATTAAAATACTTATTATTGCAATTCTGCTTGGTGACAACAGTGGTATAAAAACTACACACTTTCAATTCAATTCAAGTTTATTTCTATAGTGCTTTTCACAAAACAAATAGTTGCAAAGCAGCTTTACAGAATATTACGTTTCTACAATATGTTTAGTAGTAGCTTGTCAGTGGTGACTGTCAAATTGATGTACATATGGCACACACTTAAACCTTAACATTTTTAAAGTGGTAGACAAAAATAACAATTCTGTCATCATTTACTCAACCTCATGTTTTTCAGATCTGTATGACTTTCTTTCTTCTGTGGAACGAAAATAAAAGATATTTCGAAGAATGTTTCAACTGTTTTCGTTCATAAAATGAAAGTCAGTGGGGTCCAAAACAACACTGGACCCTGAACTTTCATTATATGAACCTTTTTATTTTTTTCAAAACATCTTTCATGTTCCACAGCAGAAGGAAATACATACAGGTATGGAACGACATGTGTGTGTGTGTACATTTCCATTTTGGGTGACCAATTCTTTAACCTTGTTTATAAAAATAGACTGCATTTTTACCAAGGTAGGTGCCATATGTGACATTCTTGTATTCGTCCCAGGAGATCATGCCATCATTATTCATGTCAAAATCCTTCCATTGTCTTTCCACATTGTCATAGATGTACTTCTTCTGAGCCTTTTTGATCCATGCTTTCAGCTCAGCCTCTGTGACGAAGCCATCCTCGTCTGCATCGATCTTATCCACAATTTTACTGAAAGGCAGCACAAAAAGAGTAAAAACATAAGGGTATAAATTAACTAGAAGAGTGTGTCTACTCTTAATCATTTATTTCATATTGAAACGACCAACTCGCAATGAAAATGAATGACTTCCGGTCATCTTGTTGCTGCGAATCACTACTAAATTCCCCTTAACACTCAGCACAATCCTTACCCAAGCCTATTCTTGCTTTCCTCTGGGGTCAGGTCATCAAACGTCTTAGCTTCATTCTCCCCAAGGAAGGCATCGTGGTCATAGTCAAAGTTTGTGC